TATCCCAGGTCCTCAGGAAGAACTCGATAGGTGGATAAAAATGCCAAATCTAGTCTAAACATCTGGCTGACTGTGTGACCAACAATAATAATAATTTCTTCCTGTTAGGCTGGAAGTGGTTACCACATGAATTGCATTTATCTCAATTCTCTGGTACAGTCTGAATTTGACAACATTAGTATCCTGCTGTACCATAGGATAATGATTTTTTTTTTTTAAGCCTTAAATATACACATGTTATCTGTCTTGTGTGAAATTGAAAAACAGGCAAAATCCTTTTCACAGAAAATGTTTTTATGATGAGTTGTGAGTTTGGGTATCTGGTATTCCCAATCATTTTCATAAAGAGGTTTTTTAAACTAACACTCTTTTCCAATACACAAGTTATTTGCATTTTTAAGATACATTTTAGGTTGTCTTGTATTATGTACACTTTGTATCTGTTCTATGTTTTTCATGAATTGCAAGTGATGACTGATCCAAGGTACTGTCATCCTCTTACCAATATATAATGAGTACTATTTGTTTTAGAAAGGTAGCATATCAATCCAGTATAAAATACAGAATAAATTGATAGTATTACCTATTCTTTTTACAAATATTCATTTAATCTTATAGGATTGAAAACATACTTACTGTTTAATAACCAAAATGAGAAGTAGGCTAGTTAGAAATTTGTTCATCTTGCTTTTATACTTTTGATACAAAAATATTAAAATATGTTATTTTTTTTTCAGCTTGATAATTTGGCACATAATGAAAAATTTAATTATACTCTATACCCCATCTCATTTCCAACTGAGAATGCAGCAGAATGGAAGAAACTGTTCAAGCCCTGTGCTTCTCAAAGACTTTTCCTACCAGTAAGTAGAAATGGTAGTTGTTATGCAAAATTAATAATTCTTTTGAAAACCTTACCTAGTCATAAGTAACAAATTAAATGTGACTATTTTATTAAATTTATATATGCTTCTAGAGAAATTTGAGTTCTTTGGTAAGCTGTTGCTGTTTGGCTAAACGTAAAATGTAACCTCTTCAGTTATTCATTTAAGAACATACTATGGCAATGTAATAATGTGCAGGACTAGTTTTGCCCTTTCAAAAGTTAGCAATACTACCAAGTTGAAGCATAATCAGGTTGAATATGAAGAGATGGGTCATTACTTGTAGGTTAAGATCCTTGTTACAGTATTGTTATGTTCCAGCTACTTCAGACTAAAGTTGATTGTGGTTTGGCTTAGAAATATTACTGGAATTCTGATGGGTAGATTTAGCCCTGAACCTCCTTGCAATTTCCTCTCTCATGAATAAACTAATTAAAAAGTTATGGGTTCTAATAAGCCAAGAAGAAACAGCTTCACCCACCAACCCAACAGAAGTTTGAAGGCACATCTATGTATTCAGTACATTTGCCAATGTACAGAATCACCAACACACAGCTTATGTTGAACAGATATAACATCATAGAGTTGGGAAGAGTGATGTAGATTTTGAGTCTGACCCTTTGCCCAATACAGGAATCCAAATTAAAGTATTCCGAACAGATACTTTGCATTCTGTACCTAAACACATCCAATGAAGAGAAAGTTCACCATTTCTCTTGGGAATTAGCTTCACTGTCAGAGCGCTCTTAACATTAGGAAGTGTTTTTCTATCAAGTTGGAACTTGCCTTCCTTTAACTTAAATCTTTCTTTGTTTTTTTCCTGTATCATGCTCTTTCTCTCAAACAGTAGTAAACAAGTCTTGCCCATTTTTGAGTGTGACATCCTTTCAAATGTTAGAAGAATGCTATCTAACCTCCAAGTTTTCTCTTTTTGAGGCTAAATATTCTGAGTTTTTTAAATCTTGGACTTTCTAATTGTCATACATCCAGCCCACGCTTAACTAGGTTGCTACTCAGAATACTATGGGATCTCTATCAAATATTTTTCTGATAATAACAGCACTGCCACAATCTACTCAGGAGGTACCAAGTTAAAAAGGGTGGGGGTGGGGGAGAGTCTGGTATGATTTCTTGACAAATCTGTGCTGACTTCTACTAATTACTGCATTGTTTCCAAGGTGCTTACTGATCAGCCTCTTTGCTTTGATAATACCTGGGTGTACTGTATATCTCATCCTTGGGATGTACAGGTGATGCAGTTGAGGTGCTGTTGCAGTGCTTAGAGGCTGTAAGGGCCTGGGTGGGGAAGCATAAACACAGAGTGGTTGTGTGTTTTGAAGTTATCTGACTGCAGGGATATTTCATCTTTGGTTCTGGATGGGGTTGTGATCCCTATACATGTTCAAAATGTGGAGGTCCTCCTGGCTCACAGCTCCTGCTGAAAGAGCAGGTGACAGCTGTGGTCAGGAGGACTTTTGCACAGTTCCATCTGCTGCAGCAATTACCTTTTCTTGAGTGAAAGGTTCTTCTCGTGGGCACTCATGCCTTAATCAGTCCTGTTTGGACTATTACAGTGCACTCTACTTGAAAACAGTAAGCAATCAAAACCTGGTTATTTTATCAAGCCTTGGAGGGGAAGATAAAATGAGAGAGATTCCTCCTCTACAAAAATATAGAATTATTTGGGTTTTTATGGTTTCTTGGCATAGGAATGTTTTAATATGTAAGGTTTATTTGTTTGGTTATTTCTTTGTTGTTTTAATCCTGTTTATTTATGATAGTATAGTAAGCTGCTCAAAATTGGCTATGATTGGAATGGGATTTAAACCCAATAAAACGGATAGATAGATGTATAAATACAGTTTATGAAATATTATAGAATGTTCTCAGATATCACTGTAACACAGAGTTCTATGATTCTTGCATCCTTTTCTTCCTATTTAAAGGTAGGAACAACCTTTGCCCACTGGTACTTCAGCAGTTCTCAGGCTTTCTCAAAAATAATATGTAAAAGTTCAGCTAGACACTTAGCAAGTTCCTTTAGTACCATCTCATAAATTCTTCTGGTCTTAGAAAATTAAGCTCATTTAAAGTAAATATATATTCCCTGATCTATATTTCTGTCAGTCTGCCCTTTCATCCTGCTCTTCACAGTTCATTAATGGAATATATACCCTCTTGGGGAAGACTGAGACAAAATCAAAGCTGAATAGCTTTGCCTGTTCCTTGCTACCAGTTAGTATTTTGCCAACTTCACTTAGCAGCTGATTTGTTTTTTTTTTTCCCTTTTATCTTATCTGAAGAATTTATTGTTCTTCTTCATCAGCTTAATCTGCCTTAGCTCTCCAGGCTCTATATGTATCGTTTTGGGCTTTGACCTGTTTCCCCTCTTCCTTGAAGACATTTCTCTTTTGACATGTCTTATCAACCCAGAATTCATGCCTGGACCTTTAATTTTTATTGCTTTTTTATTGAAACATTCAGGTAGACAAAGTTTAGTTTTTTTCTAGCCTTATGGAAAACAAAGATTAAGTGACTTATTTATAAGTGTGCCCCTTTCTCTTTTTCCAGGAATTCTAATAGCTTTCAGAATTAAAACAGAAAACCAGTAACACTTCAGAAATTAAAAAAAAAAACTAAAATAAAGTCACATCAGAAAATATATGCTAATGTAACAGCGTATTTAAAAAGTCTAAATTTAGCTCATGGGGAATCATCCCGTGGGTTATGTTGTGCTTTTATTCTTGTATGCTTTACAGTCAGTTCATCAAAATAAAAAATAGATAATGTAAAGAATAGATGCTTAAATGGCTAAGTTTGGAGAGCAATAATCATAAATAAATATCTTCACAATAGTACATTGAACAAAATGTCAGAGTTCGATGTTAATTTTGTTTCCAAAACTTTTTTTATAGTTAATCCTCAGTAATGTGGACTCTCTACTGTATGTTGACACAGACATCTTGTTCTTAAGACCTGTTGATGATATCTGGTCTTTCCTGAAAAAATTTAACTCTACTCAGATTGCTGCTATGGCACCAGAACATGAAGAACCTCGTATTGGGTGGTATAATCGCTTTGCTAGGCACCCATATTATGGAAAAACTGGAATAAATTCTGGAGTAATGTTAATGAACATGACCCGCATTAGAAGAAAATATTTTAAGGTGTGTATTTTGGTTCATTTTACATTTTCAGTACTTAATACTGTAAATTGAAATGGTATGTTTTCTAGTATTACCATAGAATGGACCTTCACTAACTTCATATAAGGCCCATATATTGTCTTCTTGTTTTTCAATGAATGCTTTTTTTCAATAAAATACTTTTTGTCATTTATTTTTCATTTTTCTAGTGCTTCTTTCTACAATGTGTATTCATTTCTCACTGTTCTTTTACTATGAAACTTCCTGTTAAATAAACTGGCATAATAGATATTTGTACGATGAGTATGGATGCCTGTTTAACCAGAAGGTGGTGCTATTAGACTGTTGACTTAAAGCTTTTGAATGTCTATAAACACGTTGTATTTGTTAAGAGTGTATGTTTATGTACAATTTTAAGTCATTTGTTTAATTCTCATAATCTGTCCAAAATAATGTCCTCATTAAGAACACTGTTCATAGGTGAGACTCATGAAATGATTCATTCCAAATGTAAAAAACTTAGTTTACCTCTTTAATCTTAATGCAGATTCCAGATCTGGGCGTGGAAATGCAGCCTCTACTACCCTTTCCAATTTTTATTTTTTATTTTAAAATGTTTGCATTGAAACGTATGACTCATAGATGCCTGCAAGCCTTTCCTAACATGCCTTGGGGTTCCATGTGTCACTTGGGCTCTGAGAGGTTTTATTAAAGAAAGGAAAAACAATAGGGAAAAGCCAGGTTTTAACCTTCCAACTGCCCTAGCCAAACTGCAGTAAGAAAATCCCCCCCCCCCAAAAAAGGGTCATTCCTGTATGGTTGTTAGATTGTTTTGGAGGAAGAAGGCATTTGGAGGGAGGATTCTCAGGTTGTTCTTAGGGAAATATAGATTTATGTGAGGGAACAGAGTCTTTGAATATTTTTGCCTTGTGCTGTTTAGCCTTTAAAGGTCTTAATAGGACAATGAATTGTACCTCAAAATATGTCTGTAACAGGATTGTGCAGTATTTCAGATTCAAAGGCAAAAATATGCTTTGTGGTATGCAGTAGCTGCACAGTCTTGGCAAAAGACATGGGTAATTGGAGTTGTAGACATCCCATATAATCTTTCATCGTCAGATATAAAATTCTGTGCAGCCCTACTTGGCAATCAGTACAGCTGAAATTAGCAAGACCAGCATTGCGTGCTCTGATCTCTTTGTGTATATGTGTGTGATGTGCACACCTTTGAGTCAGTCTTGGACAAGTCTTCCTTAGCAACATTTTTGGAAATAGTCTGCCATTGTCTTCTTTCTACAGCTGAGAGAGTGACTGGCTCAGAGTCATCCAGCTGGCTTCATGGTAGGTTTTGAAAAGTCCTCAGAGGCAGCCCCATTGAGAGTGATTTAGCTGAGTGAGGACAAAGCATGGGTCATCCTGGATAGATTTACATACTGGTGGAGATGCTCCTTTTGTATCTGTAGAACAGAGCAGAATTATACTGCCTGTTTGTTACTGTCTGAGCTCTCTTGAGAACGCTGGAGAAGTTGCAAAACTTCTATTTGTTGCCACTGTACTATACTAGAATCTTTGAACAAGCCTCATCTGTGTTATTCTTTTTTTAATGTAATTTTTATTAAGAATTTTGGTTATAATAGTAAAATATAATAAAAACTAAAAATAGAATCGAAAGGAGTAAAAAGTGCAAAGAAAAAGAGTGAAGAAAGAGAAGAAATATATAAAGAAGTGACCTCCAGCCTTCATCACAATAAGTATAAACAAATGTAATATCTCTTCACACCCTATAAGGTTAAACAGATATCTCTTCCCATATCCCATCCCTTATCTATAAGCAAATCCATAAAACATCAACTTTTCAATCCTGGTGTCGGCAAACAGTCCATAAAGGGTTGCCAGAATCTTCCCATATCCCATCCCTTATCTATAAGCAAATCCATAAAACATCAACTTTTCAATCCTGGTGTCGGCAAACAGTCCATAAAGGGTTGCCAGAACTTTGTAAAAATTGTCTTATTTTAACCTTGATCAAATAAACCAACTTTATATCCTTCCTTTTGCTTCTAACAGCCTTAATCTTTAATTCAATCAAATATTGTCATAGGATTTGATTTCTCTTTAATTCTTTTTTAATCCATTAAAATCCATTGAAGATTTCTTCAAGGCTTTAACAAGCCTCTTTAGTAGATCCAATAAGGAAACATTTTCCAGGTCATTCTCTTAGTTTATCATTTGAATTTCCCATTTAATTTTTAAAACTTCAGCCAGTTTCTTTTGTATATCCAGTGAAATGTCCAAATCATTCTCTTGGCTGTTATTTGTAGTTCCACACTCTGGCCTTTCTCTATCTCGTCAGATAAAATTTGTTCCACATCTGTCATTCCTTCATTAACATCTTTTAGACATAGTCTA